CACATTTTCAAGAACTAGGCAGCCATCTTTCCTCTACTGTCTCTGACTGAACATTTAGGAGTGAAGCTTGCAACTTCTTAATCTCCATTCAGATTTTCACTCGAAAAAGCAGCGCTGGAACGATACCACTTGTTGTATTGTGCTGTTTCGGCCGAAGTAAAGTCGAAGATCTCAAAAATGAAAATAGAAAATATAATCTTCACTTCTGACTTAGAAAGACCCTGTTCCCTTATGTTCAGACTCAATATGGACGCCAGAATTTTGTACCCCATCATGGCTGAATTACGCCTTATCAAAACGGATAAAGAACTTGAGGTAAGCCTCTCAGGATTGGCTCTAATCGCGAACAACTATTTCTTCATAATCTTACGGTGTATTTATATTCAATTGAGGTGATAAGGTATGTCTGCAAAATCGCTTCTCTAGCTCATCGGGCGATGATGAAAGCGGTACGCGTTGGTCTGCATGAATACCAATTGGAAAGGTATGTACTTGTACTAGGAGCGAAGAAGGTCAACACTTCAAAATCAAAAAATATTTAAAATCTAAGTTATAAATGAAGTGAATTACAATTTCCGCCTATAATTCGCTTGAATAAAGTAAAAACTGAACCAGACGAATAAGAAACCTTCATTGTTCATTTGATTGAAATTGGTATGTACCAAAGGCTGACCTACAGATTGGCTTGGATGTGTTGCAGCGTTTTCCGTCACACCTGCTATTTCCATGGAGGATGTCGTCATCAAGCTTTTACGTGCGTTGTAGCATCGTAAGTTATTTTCTCGTCTCGAACTCAGATCTCTCAAAAGTATCTACTTCCCTATTCAGCCGGTATTAAGGGTACCTCACAATATGAATGAGAAAAATAGTGTCAATGAACGTTGCCTGAAAGCAGTGAATACGTTAACCTTACACCCAGCTTACGCTAGCATCCCACTTGGCTGATCAGCCAAAGAACAGGAATCTCTTTCCTTCAGATGCTCAGCTTTAAAATCATATCAACGACTAAGGCACAATCGGGCTTTAGGAAAACGAAAGGCCATAAAAGGTCATCGCCGCCTTGTACTATGGCACGATATGGGTAGTTCAGGCCCCTGCATGAGGAGTGTTGCGTGAAATGGCAACTCAAAACAGCATTGCTAGCTATTCATGCTAAGGAGCGACGATTCCAATATTCTACAAAGCTTAATGAACACCGGCTTCCAGAGGAGTTAACGGCGCAATTCTTCACTATGGACATGCAGCCGTCCCAAACGATAAGCGCATCGAGGATGGCGATATGTGTCTGTGCGATATGGGACCGGAATACAATTGCTACGGTAGGATGAAATCATAGTGTTATGCTTGTGACATAGCCCAGTCTTTCCGGGCTAAACTTCTATAACTACAGCGGGGGATATTACCACTACATACCCCGCGAACGGAAAATACACTGAGAAGCAGAAAATGGTTTACAATGCTGTGCTCGAAGCAAATAGAGCGGTGTTTAAAGCAGCAAAACCAGGTAGACTACTTTCTAACTCACCTAAACGACATTTGACACAATGGACATCACTTAAGGAACTCGATGGATTGACATGCATATGCTAGCCGAAAAAGTGATACTCATACATCTTAAGAAGGCAGGGCTACTTATAGGTATGTTAGAAACCATTGAGCTTTGAGTTATCATAGGTCATGGATCGTGAAAGCTACCCACAACCGTCAATTCATATCAGGTGATATCGACGAAATGATGGAAGCAAGACTAGGAGCCGTATTCATGCCCCACGGTCTTGGTCATTTCCTCGGTCTCGATGTACATGATGTTGCCGGTTATCTCGGGGTACGTTCAGCTATAGTATAGAAGATTCTTGAATGGAAATGCTTTAATAACGAATTCTCGACAGGATGCGTTACCTCGCTCTAAGTTACCAGGCCTCCTCTAAGTTACCAGGCCTGAAATCACTGCGCACCACCCGGACACTCCAAGAAAGGATGGTAAGTTATGAGCAAAAAATTTGAGAACGGACTCAAACTACTCCTCAGTTCATACTTTCCATAATATTTTCCAGGTGATAACAATCGAACCCGGTTGCTATTTTATCGATTCATGCTTGATGACGCATTCAATGATCCGAAGCTAGCAAAATTTATGGTCAAAGCAGAAATTGACAAGTACCGTGGAGAAGGAGGGGTAGGTTTAGAATGGCTCTCTCACATGCGTATCCATATTACAGTAATTTGCTCACGGAATCCTTTGCGTAGGTTCGTATTGAAGACGATGTGGTCATTTGGGAGAAGGGCAACGAAAACCTGAGCGACGTACCAAGAACCACGGAGGAGGTCGAGCATTTCATGGCCTCAGAAGAGTTCAACGACTCAACAATTCAGAAAAGCATTCGCGATTATCTAAACAATCACTAAGTTAAATGTGTTACTCCCCCAGTATATACGCGCTGAGAAGCCACTGCGAAGTAGTCTACGGCTTCTCAATTGGCCTAGCATCGCAAGCAATAAATGAATACCGATAAAGAGCTAGAAATGAGTATACTTAGAATCAGGGAACGAAAAAAAGGATATCATGTCTATGAATGATGAAATCTTGGTTTGTTTGAAATTTATTTATTTGTTTATTTATACACTCAACCGAGTGGCCAATAGAGGGA